CCCCGGGGGCGACGGGCGGCCCAGACGCCCCACACGGCGATGAGATTTCATACCAAAGGGGGGACGCCCCTCTCCCCCACGCAGGGAACGCGTGACCGAGGGCTTCTGCTTGCCGGCGTCTTCTTGTGTGAAGAAGATGCCAGACACCTGCCTAATCCGGGGTGGCTCCCCCCCTCTTTTTTTTTTTTTTGGTTTAAAAGATCTATTTCTTTATGCACAGCTGGGGTGCAGGCCAGAGGTGCAGGGGTGTGAGAGGCTTCCCCAGAGGCAGAGCGGGGAGCAGGACAGGCGGACGGACAAAGTGCACGGCTGCGGGGAGCAGCGGGGGGTCAGGAGGGGTCTGCCGCGCCCTGGGGGTCCCCTCGGGGCGGGGATCGAAGCCGTGCTGCGGCGACTTTAGCTTCTCAGTGCTGCGCTCGCACCCGCTGCGCCCCGGGAGGGCCCAGCCCCCCGCCCCCCCCCTCTGAAGCGCTCGGGGGAGGAAGAACACTTACAGCTGCTGCAGTTTCTTCATGTGCGAGAAGGCGTTGCCTTGTAAGGACATGATGGCGTTGTCACTCAGGTCCCTGGACAAGCACACGGGACAGGTCAGGGCAGCGCCCGGCCCCGCCTGTCCGCAGGGAGGCCCCACTGCCCCCCACCACCCAGCGCGGGGTGCGGAGAGGCACGGCCGGTTCTCCAGGGGGGCGGAGGCGTGTGTCGGGGAGACCCTCGCCTTCTGGTCCGTGTGCAGACCAGGTGAGTCCTGGGGGCCCCCCAGTTTCTGCGCTCTCACCACGCAGGGACTTTAAGACACGAGCGAGCCGCCTCGTTGTGCTGCAGAGACCAGCACGTGGGCCTGGGGGGCCCGGCACGGCGGCCTCCGGCCTGCAGAGCTGCGTCCCACTGGCTGCCCGGCACCCACCGCTCTGTCGCCGGGAAGTGTTCAGGCACGACACGCCTGCCACGTTCGGCAAACCCACCGCCCACTGCAGGCGGGCATCTCTGCAGCGAAGAATGTTCTCCACTGACTCCCTCACTCACAAGCAGTCTGGCTCAAAGTGGCCACGGCCACCCTGCTTGCCTTACAGCATCCAAAGGGCCAGCGGAAGGCAGAAGGGACAGAGGGGCAGAGGGAGAGGCCGGAGGGCGAGGCTTAGGAAACTGAAGCAGAGGTCAGCGCCCCCGGAGCCTCTGATTCCACTTCCCGGAACGCAGCGGTCAGGTGACACACCCATTTGGCGTGCTCCCCTCTGAGGGTCATTTGTTTGAGCAAACGCAGCGACCCCGGTCCGCCCTCCCTCACTCTGCTCTGCAGAATCTTCCAGCAACCAGCTGGGAGCCCGCGGGAGCGCGGCCAGCCGGC